GCTGCCACTTTATTCCTGCATCCTGCCTGTTGTCCTTGCAATTTCCCTCTATAATCACTGGTCTTTGCATTGCCCAGGCCAGCCACAATCCATGTTTCCCTCTCCAGCACTGTGGGATATTGTCCCAGAGCCAGAAGTGCTGCCCTGGTTCACCACAGCCCCGTGTCCTGCTGGCTGCCTGTGACTGATGTTCCAGAGCACAGCTTGGGGAATATTTATTAAATAGGGTTTGGGATGAATAATTGCAGCTCACGTGGGTTTGGGGGTGAGGGTTTGTGCTCAACACACCCCGAGAAAAAGCTGGAGAAAATGAGTTTATTATACCAGCATACCAGTTTATTATACCAGTGGTTATCCCTGATTTCTGCTGGTGGAGGAGTTGTGGATGAGTAAATAAATGCCAAGGATGAGCCCTCACAAGTGGGAGCCTCAGGGTGTCCTGCTGCCACAGGGTTTTGGGCAGTGGGAGAGCAGAGAGTGGAAAGCTGATGGAACAAGGGACTGCCAGGAGCTTGTGCCACTGCCCAGGGGCTGGTGAGGAACAGAGAGAGAGTCTCTGTCCCTTGTCACCATCCTCTTATCTGTGAGGATTTCCAAGTTGCCCCAACACACCTGCCTGGATGAGAGGTGTTCCACCAAGGGGGGATTTTCCCTTTGGGATAGACCTTAGCCAGGGATGCTGTGCCTTGTCACCCTGTGCCACTGGCTCTCCTTCCAAAAACACCTTCAGGAATGACAAGGCTGGTGGGGGATGATCCATCAGGCTGATGTGGAGGCAGATTCATGGATAAGAGGGAGTTGTAGCTTCCATGGGTCCCTTCCAACTCAGAATGTTCTGTGATTCTGTGTCGTGGAGAGCCTTGGGCACAGAGGAGAGACTGATCTCCAGCACCACGAGATGCCTGCATGGATCTGGTTCCCAAGGCCCACTTGGAATCCATGGGGAGAACAGGCACTTCTTGGGCACAGCTGATGGGATCCAGCTTACAAAAACATTTCAGAGTGAAATGAAGCACAGATCCAACCTCTGCTCCAAACACAGATTCCACAGAGGGAGAGGGCATTACTCAGTGCCACAGTACTAATCCTGTGGGAGAGCATCAGCCAAGGGCAATACTGTTCCCATGAGGAAAGGCAGGAGGATTTAATCCCTCTGGAGATGGGTCCAGCTGTGCCAGTGGGGTTTAAAGTCAGTGTAAGTTCATCCAAACAGCAGCAGTGATGGGGAAGAATCACCGAGTGTCTGCTGAATTATCACAGAATCAATTATCACAGAATCCCAGGATGGTTTGGGTTGGAAGGGATCTTAAAGATCATCTCATTCTAAACCACCTGCCATGGGGAGGGACACTTTCCACTAGAATTCCCCACCTTCCAGTAGAAATTCATGTCATGGAAGCTCTGGGAGCTGTGTTGTCCCTCCCACAAGGTTTCGGGTGCCCTGATTTTAGTGAGGACAGACACCCATTCAGTGAGGGCTGGCACTAATCTCCCAAGGGCTTTGCAGGTCTCAACCATGCCATGACTTGTCTCAAACCATCCCCTGAGCTGACTTAATGCACTAAACTGGCAGAGTTGTAGTTTCTGACACTGAAATATTTAAATATGACTTTACTGGCTGCATAACTCTGTGATAAAAGAAAAGAAAACCCAGAGAAAAGTGAATAATAGTATGGGAGAGGGAAAAGCAAATGAAGGCTTTAACTGGCCGCCTGATTCTTTTCCATTTTTGATTTTATTTAACTTACTGCCTTTGCAAATATCTACGTGGGGTTTGATACAACCTGTGTGATGGTTGGGAAGCAGCATGGGAATGCATGGAGATGGCCAAGGGCTTCCCATGGAGTGGCCACTGCTGGTGCCCGTGACTTGGTGGGTGCAGCAGGGATGTGGCACCGGCAAAGAAGAGCCAAAGCTGGATTCAGCTGTGAGTCCACGTTGGGCTCTGGAGCTTCAGCCCAGCTGTGCTTCCACATATGTGAGTTTTCCCCTTCTCCTGGGCCTCTAAAAAGCAAACACAGCTCTTGCTCCTGGCACATTCCCACTTCCAGGGAGAGGAGAAAACCCCGCTGGGCACCAGCTCCCTGCATCTCCAGATGGTTTCAGGCCAGGCTGAGGTTTCCTCAGCCCCGTTTCTGACACCCAACACGTGCCAGGGGGAGGTCAGAGCTCGTCCACGTGCCAAGGTCACCTCAAATCACATCTGTGCCAGTCTTTATTTCCCCACCTGCTCTGCCTGTGCCTGACAAGTGTCACCTCCAAGCAGGGCCAGCCCCGAATGGAACACTCTGTACCTCCTGGCACCACCAGGAGCTGATCTGTCCCCCACACACAGGGGTGTGTGATAAGGTTATCACACCCAGGACACGCAGGGAGAGCCCAGTCCCGCCCCAGGGCCAGCTGGAGGAACACACTCTGCATCCCCAGCTCCTGGAAAACAGGTCCCTCCGCTCAGGGTTTTGGGATCTGTGGGTTTTAGGGGCTTGGCACCGGTCCTGGTGGTTTTAGCAGGGTCATTCAGGGCCAGGCGACCACCCCACTCCCTGCAGAGCTGCTCATTGCTGGTGGGGGCAGCAGGAGGGGCTGGATGGCCTGAAACCCAACTGCAGCCACTGCAGAACGGGAATTGCAAATGACAGGGGTGACTCACGGCTATTCCTTGGACTGTGGGATGAATTCCAGCAGAAAGAGCTGCAGCCAAACCCGGGGCTATCCGGGCCCTTCAGACTCCACTTCCCAGAGCGCCAGGGAATATTCAAGAAGGAAGCAAAACAGCACCTTCAGCTCCGTGATTTTAACAGCAGGATTTTAACAGGGATTTCCCGTCCCTGGAAACATTCCAGGTCAGGTTGGGCTGGGTCTCTGAGCAACCTGAGGGATTGAAGGTGTCCCTGCTTGTTGCAGGGGGCTTAGGCTAAATAACCTTTAAAGGTCCCTTCTAACCCAATTATTCCATAATTCCATGGGGTTATTTCAGTGCAATGCTTAGTAGAATTCCCACTGCTAAACATTAAAATTTGCTCTAAGACAGAGCTGCTGACAAGTTTTTCCAAGAGTGTTAAAGAAGGAGGGGGGCAGTTGGTGGGTCCTGCAGAAGCAGAAGTAGGGGAGAATTAAAACAGTGGAAAACAGGGACCTTTGGAGTTTTCCAGCAGGTTAGCCAAAATGTCCCTGGAAGAGAATGGGTCCATGTGGCTTTTAGGGGATTTTAGGCTTGGCAGGGGGAGGAGTGGAGGTGTTTAAGGAAACACTGGGCATGGCACTCAGTCCTGTGGTCTGGTTGACAGGGTGGTGATAGGTCACAAGTTGGACTCGATGATCTCAGGCGTCTTTTCCAACTTTAATGATCTGCGATTCTGTAACGACTAAGGGGGAGCAGCCGGGCTGGGCA